CATAACATGATAAGTAATTAATATCTGCTCTAACATCTTAATTCCAAAAGAGCAAGCAACTTATAACCTTTTATTATAACATTTTTTTAAAGATTTTTATATCTATTGTTTCTTTCTAACGATTGTTGTTGCTTCAACCTTCATGACCCCACTCTTTAACTTGACTGCTCACTATGTTTCCTCTATGACATTGGCACCAACAGAAATTCAAACCAGCGACTTCAATGACGACTATCACAAACTCCAAATCTTCATCACTCTTTGCCCTCACAAACAATTGCTAGTATGCTTCCAACCACATTCTTCCAGACAACAAAATTATCGTTGTTGGTAGGTGTTCATTCTTCACCTTCGAGTTCATCTCTAAGAACCACGTATTCTTCAGAATTATACTACTATTTTTCAAACCTACACCAGATGACTTGATGGTCAAAATCGGCCTAAGAATTAAAATTATTGGTTTGTATTGGTTCTGGATTTTACCAAATGAAGCCAATTGAACCCCACCATTGCTCATCCCATCGACTATTGTTGGAACCCATGTAAAAAATACGACTATAAGGCGAGAAAATGTAACTAATATAAAAATTATTTTCTACATCATTTTTTTCAAACTAATATAATATCAAATTAAAATACAACATTTCAAAGACGCGGGTAAGTGAAATAACATAAATTACACAAATTTTCACTTACATTCTTAAGTTTTTGGTTAGATTATTAACAAATACAAAGTTTTATTTACATTTTTAAACTTTTATAAGTATTGTTAGCTATACTATTAACAAACGTAAACTCTTACTAAGTATATCAATGATTTTATCTTGCTTCATTATATATTTTCTTTTCTATTAACTCATTTATATATGATAATGACAAACATTTCATATTTCTCATTTACAAATTTAACAAAAATTAAATTTTAAATAAATATTAACGATAAACATTTCATATTTTTTATTTACAGACTCAACAAATATTAAATCTTGAATAAATATTGACAAACATTAATATTGTTGACATTAATAAACATTGACACCATTAAAAAATATTAACAAAGATATTAATGTTATTAACAAACATTAATAGAAAAAACATTTTCTACATTAATTCACAACTATGGTAGAAAATGACATATTTTTATATCGATTATTACAATTGATGTAAAAAGTTTTAACTTTTTATTTTGTTTGTAGTTATGTTAGTTCTTCAACTGATATTAAAAACTATTTTTAATTAACATAAAATATTTTTTTTTCTTGATAACAAATTTAGCCAAACACAAAATGTTTAAAGTCTAATGTTAAATAATAAAAACAAACCGTAATCAAAATATAGTATATTTTGTTCTTAATTACAAATAAAATATGTATTGTCTCTTTAGTTTCTCTTTAATTAAAAAATGTGTGCTTATTTGATAGGAGTGTGTTTAAACAATTGGTAAATAAGTCAATTAAAAGCTCTAAAGTTAGTTTAAAAATAAAAATTGATAGGTTAGTTGATTAAATTAACTGTATTTAGCAAAATTATCCTTTAAACTGGTTGATTAGTATAAAATGATAAATTTAATTGCTTAACCATAACTTAAAATTTCTAATTATGTTTATTTTCAAATACTTATCACTTTCTATATTTTTATTTATTAAAAAAATTTATCATCGTAAAAATTAAGAATTTTTTTCTTATTTATATTATATTTTTAATTTTAATTTTTATGAAAAATAATATTTGATGGCTTTATTGAATCCTTCTTGAGAACAAAGGAATCCATCACTTTTAAAAGTAATATGTGAGTGTTGAAAAAATAACAAAAAAACTAAAAAAAAAATTCAATAAAATAACTAATTAAAGTGAATAGATTTATTCAATTTAATATATAAGTGAAAATATATCATAAAATATTTTTTTTAAAAAAAGCATGTCTGCATGAAAATGAGTTAATTAGCACTCACTCAGTAATGAAAGTTGATAATTTTTTATTTTTTTTTTAGAAAGACATGTGAGTGGATCAGAATGACCAGCCATAGACATAAAGGAAAGGAATGAAAGACTTGACCGTTGACCACTGAAATGTTTACTACAACTACAATAATATATATAATGTTTGGTACGTGGGAAAGCTTCAACACTTTCACATGGTTTCATCTTCACTTCCTCACAGACCTCGTTTATTGATTGACTTTCAACTTGAAGTGACACCTACACATTGTATATATTTACATATTTTGAATACTTTGATTTTTAATAAAATTAATAGTTAAAAGTTGTTGAGAGTTTAAGATTTCAGTGTTACAATTTTTTAAAAATGGTATTTATTAATATAATAAATTAAATATTTAGATATTGATTCAATTCCCTGCAAGTGACCTACTTTTGATAGTGGATTGAATAGGTCGGATTAAATAAAACTTCATATAATATATGGCTTACTTTTAAACCAATAAACAAATAAGGTTATAGATTGTCATTTTGAAAGTTCCTCAAGTCCAAATAATTGAGACTACATTGGTTTACTTCGATTGTAGAACAGAAGTCAACACACTCACACGAGTTTTTTTTTTTTTTTTTTTTTTTTTTTTTTTACGTGTATAGAAATATATAAATATCATTATTGTATTTATATGAATCAATATATGGTAAACGTAAATTGTAATATATTAAAAAAAACAAACATAAATATGAATCAAAGTAGACCCATTTGAACAAAGAGACAAAAACAAATCAGTACTCAAGGACCTTTTCTGCATGAATTGAATATAATAAAAAAAATTGCCACCAACCAGTATGATTGAATCAAATATCAAACCTTGGTGCTGCAGCTCTATAAATCTCGGGTTGTTCTTGCTTGCTTTTCAGCAATTCAAACACACCCTCCTCTGAAGTATCAGAGCAATTTGCAGGCACTATTCATCACTTGCAGTTTCTCAAATCTCATCAATCATGGTTCATCGTTTATTGGGAAACTTTACACCTAAAACTCTTGTTCAGGCACTCAATTCCATGCCTCGCCTAGCTACATCCTCGCTCAGGTAACTAGCTTCTTCTTTTGCTTTTGTTATCTTTCCCTCGTTCATCTGTTTGCTGGGTAGAAATCTATTGAGTGCCGGTTCTATTTGCAGTTAATAAAATTAATTTTAAGATGTTGAATGTAATTAACATGTGTGTATAAATTAAATTAAATTATATATTTTTATTGAAAATTGCAAGAATGATTTTATAACTTTAAAATAAACAAGTCAAGACTTATTAATAAATATTTATAAGAATAAATAAATAAAAGAAATTTTTAATGTTATTAAAATTAATTTATGTACTTCACTTTTTTTTTAATAAAATTTCTCTGATTAAATATCTTTAAAAGATAAATTATATATTTTTAAAACATGATTGATTTTTTTTCTTTATTTTTTTCTCTTATACATATTTGCTGTGAAGTTTTTCCAAATTCAACCTAAATCATTAATGTTTCAGAACTATATTAAACTTTAAATTAAAGCTATCAGTTAACGTAACCCAGAATAATCTTTACATGCATAATTTTCATTTTAGCCACATGTTGCACGCTTATACAGAGCTTTCATCCAAAAAATAAACAATTATGATTCATAAATATTTAAACAATATCAACACTCATTTAGAAATATTTCATCTCTTTAATTATATTTTTCTTCTTATCATATGACATCACCGATTTATCAGTTAGTTCTTTGTTCTTTCTCTCTTCATGTATTGACATCTCAAAACATTTGGCAAAATTGAAACTTGAATTTATGAACTGACATGATTGTTGCTCAGAATGAGAGCGGGTCAAGGAAGAAGGTCAGACCTCAGCAATGGGAGCGGTGGACAACATAATAAGATCATACAGAAGAAGGGTTTAGCCAGCAACTCAAAAAATTCAGAATGATAACAATGGAAACAAAAGAAAGAACAAGGTTGAAGCTACTCCTAACGCAGCCAAGAAGCGATAAATTAGAAATAATTAGCAATTTTCAAGTTTGAGAACATAGCATGTAAGCAGCTTTAAGACTAGTGATGATTTGAGTGTGATTAGTGATTTGGTAGCATATAAGACACAATATTAGTGTAGATTTCCGTTTTGGTCATGGTAATAACTACAGAGCTGTGCGGTTTTCTGCTCAAAATGCGTTTTCAATTTAAAAATAAATAAATGAAGTTGTACGGCATGCTTGGCAAATGGAAATTTTCTTCTGTTCTTAAAATTCAAATAAAAATATCCCTTGTTTAAAAAGATTTTGAGAGAAACCAAAGGCTTAGTGCTATTGTGTAAAGCTTCTCATTACATTCACGTGTAAAATTGGTTTTTTTTAAATCAAGAAGTTATGTGTTGAAACTCCATATGCAAAATTATCCTAATCAGCGATAGTCACTAACTATAAACAAAGATTAATCACCTTGTGATCTTTGACTTTAAAAAAAATTGAATTAACTTAATTTATTTGTATGTAAAGTGTTGATCAGGACCGTTCATAAGTTGAAAATATATTTCAAACCCATCACTAAGATACATCAAGTTTGATTTATAAAATCTAAACTCATTAAAATCGAAATCAAATCAATCTAAGTTAATGAAATAAGAAGTTTTGAACACCCTTATTATTGACTATTTGAACTGACTTCTTAATTTGTACTTCTTTTTCTTTTATGCACAACTATGATAAAAAAGCTTAAAATTAAATATCCCAAAAATAAATATTCATTTAATTGAAACAACATTTAAATAAATTAAAAATAATAATTATACCAACTATTTACAGTATTTTCAAGCATGCAAGCCATCCTAAGTCCTAACCCATTACAAGTTAGCCCATGTCATGTTGGGCCAAACTAAAAACACATCTATGTAAATAATAAATATATCGTTAAAATTAAAAAACAAAGAAAGAAAAAAGAACATTGTAGCTTCTTACTTAGTTCCATCTAAAACCCATAACCAGTGTTCCAAAAACCCTTTTCCCCGTTCCACTGCAGTGATCACCATGGATATCCTCAAAACCCTCTTCTCTCGCCGCTTCCCCTCACTCCGTCTCAACCTCCAAACCACCCCTCACAGATCCGCCACTGCCTTTCCCCAACCCCCACTCGGCCCAATCCCCCAAACCAGGCCCTATAAAAAACCCCTCCACGTTCTCTTCTCCCAAGCCGTGGGCCTCTCGGAAAAGCCCGCAACCCCCGATGACGAGGACGACAACGCAGAAGCAAAAAGTGATGCCGTTCTGAAGAAGAACCTAATTGAGTTGGAGAAAGAGATAAAGAGCTTTAAAGAGAAAACGAAAGTGGTTCCGAAGAAAAGCTTGTTCGCTCTGTTTACGAAGCAACCACCTGACACTGTTGCCACGCACAAGGTGAAGGAAGTGAAGCCCAGGGAACCAGTGGTTATTAAGGATCTTTCGGATGATGCTGTGATGTTCATTCAGTACTTGTACGAGAAAGGGTATTTTAGGGATGCTAATTTCGTCCAGGGGAAGCGAAGTTTTGACCTTACTTGGTTCGATAACCTTTTCGCCAGAGGCTATGTCAAGTTCGCCGCTCAGAAATTTGCCAGAGATAATCAAGAAATTGCCAAGTAAATTCGTCATGCTCATGATTATGATTATGACCGCTTTTTATTTTTGCACTTTCAAGTCTTGTTAAATGGTTGGCTTGGTTGGTAAACATGTTTAGTTTTGTGAGAATGTGGACTAATCATGTTTATTAATACAATAAGGATTTAGAAAATGTTTTATGTTTTTACTTTTAATTAAAAAATGACCCCTTGTTTTATTTTGATTACTGTTTTAAAATATTTACATAGGAAAATATGCAAATATTTGAAAATAGAAACTCTTGTAATTAAAAGAAAAAACAGAAATTATTTTTAGAAACCAAACAATCCCTTAAATATTTCAAGTTTATCCAATCAAGTAGAAGAGAATGCGAAGCTATTGTCTTTTATTTTGGAAGTTAGATTTTGGAGGAGAAGGGAGAGGAAGGCAATTTATTTTTTTAAATTTAAAGATTGATATAATATTTATAAAAGTAAATACAAGATTGGCATATTAAGTTTATACCTATATATGAAACTAGAGAATATTAATTAGGAATAAAAAATTTGTTCTCTCTTTTCCCTCTGCTAAAATACGCAACTCCCAAACACCCTGAGAAGTGAGAGAGAGAGCATGATTTATGGTGTGAGATACATATCTTAAAGCATGAATTATGTACATATCAGAGTCAGCATCATTTTTATCACAATATTATAAGGTAAGGTGGGTAAACTAGAAGATGCTGTGTAGGTTGGAGATAGATGCATCTGGAGTCTGGACTAATATTTTGGAAAAAAGAGAAAACAAAATTGATTTTACACTTTGATGGTTCGTTAGCAAATATGCGTTTGGAGCAGTGTATGCTAACATGATTTAGTGTATTCGTGAAGTGATTTTTGTTATGCTTGAATATTGGTGATAAAAATCACATTTCCAATTTGTAAATACCAAAAGGAGTATGGTTCTTCCAAACACAAGAAAATGTTATTGACATTGTCATGGTGAAAGGATGACTAACATCTTATTTGAGGATTATGATTTCCTTTCCCTATTTGTTAGAGTGATATGATGGATTGTAGAAAAGAATCAATAGAATTGATAAGTGTCCATTATACTGTCATCCATTCCTAGGAAGTTTTTTCAGTCTTCCTGACTCCTTACCTTTATATAAAGAGGAAGTTACTAAACAAAGAAATGTAACCTCAAGGGAGTATGTACTACAAGAATACCAAAAATTTACTCCCATTCTTGAGGAAATCATGAAATTTCTATTTTTATGTGTCTGACATTGCCTTGCAAACTTGCATTGCAAGCGACCCAATTTGCATTTCAAAATTAGATTGGCAGCATGGTACATTTTGATTTCCCCCAACTTAGTGTTTCTAACATGAAATTGTATTGACAGATGGCTGTCAGGAAGTGCCTTGAAGCAAGTGGTGATGTTTGGTTGCCCCTCCATCGACAGAAGTAGTGTTATTCCTGCCAAAAGACTGCGAAAATTTTTTGAGGTTCCAGAAAACACTGTAAGGCATAGCATGCATGAAGAGTACTTTCACTGTGTTGTTTTCTGGCTTATATATACCTATGTTATTTATAATTTCTGTTTACACCAGGTTTGCAGTGAATGCTCACTGCGACAATCGTGCAAGTTTGCAAATCAAAATGTTTGGAAATGTAACACCAATAATTTGGATTTGGAAGTAGTTATGAAGGTTATTACTGCATATGCTATAGAGTTTGTGCATCCCCAGCTGGTAGTGCCTGATGAAGTAAACAAGTCAGTGAGTCAATTGCTGGAGGAGGTTGTGAAACTTAGTCAAACCACCTGAAATTGCTTATGGTAGAACCAACAATTTGTTTTAACATTTTCTCTCAAATATCTGTGACATTGCTGAGATACTCATCACATGAGGTGGAATTCGCGAGAGCGTTATCACTTATTAGGCGTTGCAGACCAATTTTTGAGATTACTTTTCTTGCTGCACAAGCTTATTAGTTTTCAAATGATACTCGGGTGAAAAAAGTGAACTCAACTACATTATCTACCTCCGGAATTTAAAATTTCTGATATGAGTGGCAGGTCATATTTCTTTGGATAGAGTAAGTGCCTGTGGTTGTAGGGAATGTACGCAGGTCATATATATAGGCGGCATGGTGTCTTAGCAAGAATGGTTTGATTTGGGGGGAAAGGGTGAAATTGTTTTAGTAAAATTTTAGTCGAAAAATATTCATTGGATTTAGGGGCTATTTGGAAGAGTTTACTTTAACTTGTGAAAATGACTTCTGATATTCTTAGAATTTTTTTTTAACTTATTCTAATTTCTCAGTTAAGTTTAAGAATTAACTCTTATTTGATGAGAATTTATTAGATTAGTGCGTTTAGAAAATTATTTACTTGAATACTAACTTTGATTCTATTCATAAGAAATAATTATCAGTATTTTCTTATTCAAATTAAAAGAAATATTTTTTATAAATACATCAATTACTATTTTTTATATTATTGTGAGATTTACGATAATAAAATACTCATTTATTACTCATACAAGTAAATACAATCATTTCTTTAATATACATGTAAATAACTTAACTATTTAGTATTACTATATTTATTTTTTTATATAATTATTTTTTATTAATGTTTATTAACTAATTAGTTTCTTATAAGATTAAAAGCAATATATTCACTCAATGCTCCTAGGGGTATCCCTTAGGCTGGAATGACTAGTGAATTCATTGATTTTGGCCCAACCCAACTTACAAATGGGTTGTCTCGGCTTCCAGCCCAGACACTCACCAAAACTTTCAAATTGTCCTCTGAATTTGAGGTCTCTCAGCCATTTGTATTTTTGGTCAGTTCTCAGCCTTGTTTTGTCTCCGATATTTAATTTTCTTTTTTGATTTTGTTTCCTTAGGTATGCTCTCAAACACCACCCACATTCCATGTCTACTCTGCTTCGACATACAAAGCCCAATGAAATTCATGAAATGGTCTACGAACGAGGAGAGAGGTACATGAAATCAAATAAGATCATACACAAAATCTTTTTCCCCTTAAAAAGCAAAACAAATGTTGTTTTACAAAAACACCCTTCTTCGTAAAATTTCATACAATGGGGTATAATATAAGAAAGCAATTATTTTGTATCTTGAATATACTACAAAGTATAAATTAGGAAGGGGGAAATAGGAGCAAGCAGCTGCAAACATGAAGGTTGTAAGTTGGATAAAAGAAAAAGAAAATAGAGTGAGCAAAAGGAGGACAAGAAAATCAGAAAGATATTGTGATGACGTGAGGAAAGCGTATGGTAGCATTTGGCAGAAATTGGTGTTTGTCTAGTTATTGATGTCGGGAGGGAAAAGCAAAATATGAAAACACGCATTCAATACATTTTCACAATACAACCGTTGTTTTCTACGCTGACCGGTCTTCTCTTTTGCACGTGCTTTGATTCTTTTCAACTTTTTGTTCCTCCAAAATACCACCGTCCTCGCTACACGTCACACTCTACCCTTTCTATTTCATTTAGAAATTTTTAACAATTTGTTATAAATTGTTTTGTATTTTTGTACTGTCATGTTTCCTTTTTATTATTTTCATCTATTTAATCAATTTTTACTTTAATTTAACAAGCTTTTTAAAAATTTAAATATACTTCACAACCTATTTTATGCTTTTAAATTTATTATTTATCTTTATTTTAATTTTACAGATAACATTTAAAACTTTTAAAATTAATTAACTCAATTCATTTAAGTTTGTTTAAAATATTAAAAATATATACACAAATTTAATGCTGATGTTACAACTAATAGTTTTAAAATAAATATAAATTTATATATTCTTTAATATGAAATCAAACCTATTATAAATCGTTTGATTACCAATTAATTGAGCTAAAAATTAATCACAGAAAATTAAAAATGTTTACCCGATTCCAATCTAGCAGGTTAATTTGTTAGGTAAAAAATACTTTTTTTTTAAAACAAAACAGCATATCATAAAAAATATCATTATCACTTACTAAAACTATTTTTAAAAAATTAAAATACACACGCCTAAATCTAACTTATAAATTAACTCACCATGAGTTGTCTCAACCTAACTTACCTGTAACTCACGGTAAGATAGTTAGCTCGATCTTCGTGACACATTTTAACAACTATGATAGTATTATAAAAATTAAATGAGGCGTAAAAAGCTTTTATATATATTAAAGTTTGTTATTATCGATAGAAACTGACACTTATACACATAGTTGCTCTTTAATAAGTGTCAGTTACTTTATGAGTTGCTTCTACGATTCAAGGGTTTAGGTTTTAGATGTTTCTATATTCGTTCCATTAACTGTTTTAAATAGAGTCGTAAAAGGTGGTCCTTTTAGCCGAGGATGTAGATGTTGTTTTGGTGTGTAGTCATTTATACGAGGAGGTCTAGATGTGATTTTGACATTAGTAGAGTTACCACACAACAAACTTCTTTATTAATCACTCTTAGCAAACATATAGTTTTGCATCATCCTAATTGTTTTTTATATTGCTATGTTAAGACTGACAGTTTTATTTAATTAAAGCATTTAACTCATCAGATTATTCTTTTGAGGTCAATACATCACTGACCTTTAATGTCCTTTTGTTTTCTCTCCTGTTTTTGGTCTCTCCTTTTGTTGTGCATGCGTGCGTAAATTTATTAGTTTCATTGAGAATGTATAGAATAAAAACATTGCTCATAGGAGGTGGCATGGTCATAGGTTATAAGGCTTTAGGTGATCAATTTTGGTGGGAGCAATTTAAAGGGTAAATCAAGTTCCAATAATTGATGACGTCATTAATCACTATATCTTTTCATTGCTTGATCCATTATTCTCGTATTTTTCGTTTGCCTTTTGATGTGCTTTCTTGCATGCATAACTTATTAGTCTACAATTCAATGGAAACAGAACAAAAACATTACTTGGATTGTTGTCACATTTTGCATTTATCGGAAGTGGCATGATCATAGATTAAAGACTTATAAATGTTTCTCCATTCATTCTGATAACGATTTTAAGTAGAGTCATATAAATGATAGTTAATTTAAGCCAAAAATCTATATCATATTTTGGTGTGTAGTCTGTCATAATAAAACCTTAGATCCGATTTTAGTGTAAATAATTTAAAGAGTAAATCAAGTTTCAACAATCAAGGACGTATACCACTTATCATCATATCTATACATTGCATGATTCATTCTCAATCTAGAACTGTCTAATAGGTTCCATACTAAGGCTAAGAACACTCAACCAATCTCTTCTATTAAACATCTCAAGATAATAAAAAAAGCTACCTCAACGTTGTACTGAATCGCTCTCATGCAACATATAACTGCTCTAGTTTCTTTATATTCTAATTTCTAACTATTCCTTCTACTTGTTCCGTTTACATCGACCATTTTTCTGTTGAATATGTGCTTGAGAAAATGGATGCAAAACAGCATGATAATTAGATATAAATTTGATTTAGAGAGTCTAGATAAGAAAAGAGGCGCAAGAAAACCAGTCTAGGATGGACTTCAGTGTCATGCAACCAACTAATGAAGAAATTCAAGTAATTTTCCCTTGCCCGGAAGCTCCTGATAATATGGGCATAAGTTTTTTATTTTTCTTAAAAAAACATTTTTAAAAATAAATATGAAAAGAAGAGTGTATTAAGAAATAAATAGATTTTTTTCTATGTTTTAGTCCTTTCTATTGTTGTTCATTATTTCTTTTGAAGATCATATAGTTTCTTTAACTAATTATAAATTATCACTAGTTAATTTCGACTAAGGTAAGATTTATAAATCAAATAAAATAAGCTCGATTAAAAATAAGAATCATGTCAAAATTAAAAAATTAAATTAACCCACAAAATTTACTATAATCCTAACTATAACTATACCTTTTCATGATCTAAAGAATGAACTAGATGAAATTTAATTTTAAAAATTGTTATTAACAAGTGATATTTTTTTCTGTTGACCAAGCAAAGCTACAAAATCGATCTCCAACTAAAATAATTTTCAGAAAAGAAAAATCTTGAACTAAAATAATAATTAAAACTTTCTCTAAAGTGATGATTCCAAAATTTAAATATTTAATATTGTGAGTAAAATTTATATTGAGTAACCAAATGATTTGTCAACACTTAAATTAGAGCATGTGATCAAATTTATTTTTTATTTTAATAAAATTCAATTATGTGATGAAGTGTCACTTGTCTCAACTTAATAGTTATCTCCAACTTTGATTAATTAACTTATTTAGTTATTATTAGTTCCCTATCATGAATAATAAAACCCAAAACAATCAATTTTGTCTATGATATTTTTATCCCATGCTCACTTACCAAAATTACATAGTCTAATTAGATCTTACAACCTAACCCATAGTTTATCTGTCTTGGTCTGCTTAAATTGAAGCAATCGAGTTGGAACGAAAGAACTAAAGAAAGAAAATGACTTATAAATAGAAAGCACGAAAATAAAAAGTGACAGAGCCGCACACGTTCGACGGATGCTGAAGCAGAAAAGAGGGAGTGTGTGGGACCCACCAGAGTCATGCAAAGCCTTGTGAGTTGTGATCACGTGAAAGTGGAAGCAACACTTGAGGTGTATAAAAAATAATTGAATTAATTAAACATTTAAAAACTATAAACTGTAAAAGTATTCTTTAAAAAATGTTCACTTTAATTTGGTTTTAAGTAATTTAAAATAAAAATTATTTATTATCTTAAAATTATTATTTTTTAAAGAAAACATTATATTTGTTCACTCACAATTCATGATTATTTTAATTAAAAAGGAAAATTTATTTAAATTAATGTAAATTAAATTATAATACATTTTTATGATTATAATTGAAATGCCAACATCTCTCACTAACATCATCGCTCCAATGCATCACTTTCCAACACGTGCACCGAACTCCCCATCACACGTACCCTAAAATACGCTGTTACTTTGCCTCCCTCTCGGCACGGTTACGGGAAACAAAAGTCTGCAATCTTACAGTAACACACAATGTAAATATATATACTATCATAATAAATGTAACATTAAAATAAAGAATCAATTTTACTTTTATTTTTGCAAAATTAATATTTTCTATCTTTACAATTTTTATTTATTTATTTAATAATATCAATTTTTATAATTTTTAATTACATAAAATATTTCTATTTTACATTCTTACAACGAAACAAAAATATGCAATCTTTTAATAATACACTACGAATAAAAATAAATTAGACTATATTAGGTCTAAATTTAAATAGATCTGATCTATTATATAAAATTAGAGCTAAATCTAAATTTATGATTTGTCATAGACTAAATCTTTAAGCTTAGTTTGACTTTTTAAAACTTTGACATAATTTAATAATCAACAATCTAATATATCAAAAGATCTACTATTAGTAAAATAAAAATTATATGATAAATAATTATATTTAAATATTATGTTTAACTAAAAATATACATAAATAGTTTCATAGATATTATATTTCAATATAATTATATCCAGTAACTTTACAAAATTTTATATCTTAAATAATTTAAAAGATAACAAAAGATTATATATATATATATATATATATATATATATATATATATTTAAAACTCTTCATCTCTTCACCATTGCTATTGTACAAAATAATGAATATCAAATAGTAAATTTTAATGAAACATCTTTTAATATATAACAACGATAATGAAGACGAAAGAAAAAAAAGTGACACAACGGTAATTTTTGTCTTTAGTTTATACAATCATAATTTTAAATAATTATATTAGTTAAAAAATTAAAAATATTTAAATTTAAAAGACTATAATGAAAATTAAGAAACAATAATTTTTAATAATCAATTTAGATATTTTAAAAATTAAAACAAAATTTTAATTAATATATATATATTTTTATGATAAATTTTAATTTTGATACTCTAATAATTTAATTATTATTATAATATAAATATTAAACTATATTATATATTACATATTATATATATATATATTTTATAGATAATTATATTTATATTAAATTATTATAAATAAATATAAATTATAAAATAATATAATTATTTAATTGATCAGTTTAACTAGTCTAAAAAATTATTTTTAAAACTTAAGACTAAATTTTTCATAAATGAGTCAAGTTGAAACAGGCCCAAATAGATCATGCTATAGGTCTTTGATGGACGGCTTGATCAATTACCATTTTTATATATAAGATAAATAAATATAGAATAAATTATATTTATATAATTCTTTTAAGTTTATTTGTTAATATAATAATTTTATTTATTCATATTTAAATAATTATATAAATTAAAAAAGTTAATTTTATGAAAAAAATATTAAATAAAATTTTAGTAAACCGTCTCGGGCGGTTGCAGGAATAAAAGCATGCCACCTTCTTGCTTTAGTATCCTTTTTCTCGCCTCGCTCTCGGTCGGTAGCAAATAATGTAAATAAGTATACGATGATAAATGAAAATTAAAATAAACACAAATAATAATCTTATTTTATATAATTATATAAATTAAAAGAAGTGGAATTCATATGAAATATAAATATGAGATGACATTTTATTCTCTGCATTCTTCGTCTCGCGGTAGCACACAGTGCAAATAAATAGAGGACATTAAAATAGAATATTTTATGGTATTACAATTTTCAATGTATCTGTAACTCGCTTACTGTATAAATGTTATCTAGGTAATTAAAGTTCCAAAATTACCCCTGAAGTCTTTTTCTTCTTGTCGCGTTGTTACCCGAATTGGCGAATTATGGGTGCGTGGATCTATCCTTATCAGCGAGGGTCATGGACTTTCAACATCAGGTTTAGCTGTTTAGGTCAAATAAGCGTGCTTTGTAATAATGCAACATTTTGGCTTTTTATCCTTAGTGTCAACTCTCAACCACATAACATGCTAACTAGTTATACCTCACACATTCTTCTTTTATATAGCTCTTTTCCAATAATGATATTTTTTTAAAATCTTGTTCAAATTTTCTTAAGAACTTAATTAAAATAATAATATTTATTATATTATATTATAAATTATAATAAAATTACATTCATAATTTTTATTTTAATATTTTAACTAATATTTTTAAAATATGTATTAACTCTCTTCATATATTCAATCATCTTAATATATGTATGATAATTTTCACTAATGATCTATGGGTATATATTATTTCAACAACTTTTATCCTCACTGTCTTGGATGCATTATTAAAAAATCTCAGTTGAAGATAAATTAATATTTTTATTTGTGGAATGCATATTAATGTACAATATAAATTATAATTTTTAAGTTTTTTCAATTAAAATTTTTTTATATATAATACAGTTTTTTTTTACTAACATTAATACATAAATTTTTAATATTTTTAGTTATCATTAATAATAGCTTATAATATTTTATGATGTAAAAAACTACAAGAAAAATATAAATATTTCATGTAAAAAAATATATAAACAAAATTTTGAATTGAAAATAAAAAATTGGAAAAAGTTACCATCTAACAACTTTTTAATGAAAGCATTTTAATATTATACAAAAATAGTTTTTTAAATAAATTATTTAAATATTTACATTGCTAATTTTAAAATTGAGTTTGTGTGGATTAATTAAATGTCAATAAATATATGAGTTTTAAAATTAATAATCTTAATTTCAAACTACAAAGATATCATTTATGTAATATCCAAATTAAAAAAACTATGACGAAAAAGATATTATCTAAGACTTTAAAAATAAGCATACTTTATATTTTAACACTTTTTATTATAGTTATAAATACTAGCATGTTATCAATATATATTTAATAAAATTCTGTTAGCCAATTACAACACAAACTATAAATAGACATTAATTTTAGATTCCTTAAACTTAAAAATATCTCATAATTTATGACTTAAAATAAAAAAAAATATGTTTTACAATAAAAATACTTTCAAAAGTTATATAATTAAGAATGTTAAGTTTGACCTCTTAGTTGGTTAATAAATGAACTGAACAAACTTAAAAGTAGTATTTCCATATGTAATAAAATAATATTTATATTTAATTTTAAAAGGATATATTTTGTTTGAAAATTTTTAATTTAATTTCATTAATTACAATCCTGGTCCTGACATTTTATGATTCTTTCACGGGCAATATAAGCTTTAACCTAGTCCTCCTCTCTTCACTACACTGCCATATGGGGCAGAGTTTGGCTCAGTCAACCTTAACACGTAGTCCAGTCACGCACGTACGAATCCCGCTCTACATTATCATTATTAATTAACCTCTCTTTCTCTCTCTAAATCCAATGGCACATCCGTGAATATCCATCAAAATCGTGACCAATTTCTCTTCCCTCAAAGTATTTAGTCCATCTTCTCTGTCACTCTCTCTCCCTCTCTTCCTCAAGCTTTTAATTTCACACTGCACCTTCCTTCACCCAAACCTCTCCCTGTTTTCCGGCGACTTCTCCGGTCACCATGCTTCTCCGACCTTCCGACGACGACCTCACCTCTTCACGCGCTTAGATCTGCTCAGATCACCGCAAACCCTGAACCCAATCAAACCTGCTCCAAAACTCCGTCGTCTCGTCCCTTTCTAAGAACCGATCCTCACCCCTCTCCAATCCAAAGTTGCTTTCCTGCGATTCGCAGCTCTACATCAACGAAAAACGAAACGTTTTGAAGCACGAACTTGACAATTCGCTCTGGTTCGATCTCGGAACTCCACTTAATCGCGTTATTTGATATTTGTGTGTTTTTTCTTTGTTCTCGGAATTTCAATTTTTCCGGGCGAGAAGGATGACGTCGGGGACGAGACAACCAACCTGGAAGGAGAGGGAGAACAACAAGAGGAGAGAGAGAAGAAGAAGAGCCATAGCCGCGAAGATCTTCGCGGGTCTGAGAATGTACGGCAACTACAAGCTTCCCAAGCACTGCGACAACAACGAAGTTCTCAAGGCTCTCTGCAACGAAGCCGGTTGGGCCGTTGAGCCGGACGGCACAACCTATCGCAAGGTATAGCAACTAACTACAGACACTTTTTGTCTGTTGCTGAAAATGTGCAATTTTTGCTTCATTTTTCTTATTAGATTAAATTAATTTGAGATTTTATTTTGTTTTTACTATTTTTAGCATAAATTTTTTTAATGTCAATTATGGTAGCATTGATTACAGTGGCATGGCACATGCTACTGATGCAAAAAGAACGTGGAAGGGGCAGAGAGAGTTGTGCTACAGAAAGTGTGACCCTTATTTGATGCTATTATTGCTGTGTGTGTTATGATTTTGGTTTGTGGTGGTGACGAGTTACGTGTGTGTTTGGGGTTAGATTCTCTCTTTTTTGCGTTCGCCGGTGTATGTTAGATCTGGTCGGGGCTTTGCTTTGGAGCGTGAAAAGATTCTCTGTATCTCCGTGGTGGTGTTTTGATGAGTCATAATAATAAGCCGTGAGAAAACCTCAGGGGGCATAGATCTCGAGGGGGAAAGAGAGAACGAAAATGCACGTTATGGTTTTGAGGGGTTAAGGAACTGCCAAAAGTTTCTTACCTGGACCTTGGGAAATCGAGAAATTACAAGGGGTAATTTTGGGAGTTCAGGTGTCCGCTTGGTATATTTAGTTGGTTGCTGTGCTTGTGTTGTAACATGGCAGATCTTTTTACAGACATTGCATGGTAGTCTGATTTGGAGAGTAGCACTTTTTTCCTCAGTTCCCGTGATATTTCTTCTTTTTTTAGGGGTTGCGGTTACGTTTATTTATTTATTTTTAAGGAGCGGTACCTTTATGTTGATGGCGCCCCACAATTTAAAGAGAGCTTGTTTTTGACTCACCAGACTTGTTTATGGCTTTATCCTCAATTGAACTTCTTTGGGCTGGGTTTCTCTTTTGTTTTTTTTCTGTTTCTTTTTATTTTTTGGAAAAAAAAAAAGAAAAAGAAAAAGGGGGTGAGGTGTTGTGTACGTGTGTGTAAAGGGGCACATTATTCTATCTTTGCTAAAACTGACAGGCTTTGGTTTGGTGAAACAAAAATTAATGAGAATGCCAAGCTATCCAATTACATAAAATACAAGCAAACAGCTTCTTCAATACTTAGAGGTAACTTGTTAAGTCAGTTAAAGTTTTAAATTCTTTTATGTTTTATTTTTATGATGCTGCCAGCAGAATTAATATATTGTTGGATGTATACTCTTTTTAAACAATCTAATACATACTACCTTTTAAATGGGTTATATTAGAACTCCTCAATGTTGAACTTTTGGTTGCTGGTGTTCAACTCTTCATCAATAATGGAATGGTTGTAACTGAACTCAATGAAGTAAGAAAGACAAAATCTGGACTGTTGTATTGGGCAGTTATTTAAGCAATTAGTGTGAATGTTTTCCCTCTAACAGCTATAGGAATATCATATAGCTGGTGTGATATCTGTTTCGACCAACTGATTTGTTGGTTGGTTGTTGTATTAGTTGCTGCATGTTTAATAAAATTCACTAATTCATTGAAACCTCATGCCTATATATAGATATTGTCTCTTAGTTTTCTAATTAGCACAAATTGTTGGTTTTGTTAGTGTCCTATACAGAAACCATCTAAGTTTGTCCCTGTTTCCTTGTTTCCATGCATTGATTGTTCTCTATCTAAAGAAAAGATGTTAGTCACTATCCATGTTCAGATAGGTTATTCTCTCCATTATTTATTTATGTTATTTTTTCACCTTTAATGGTGGAATTTAAGTAATGGTACCATTTCCACTGAAAAAAAACTATTGTTATGATTTAAAAATTGAAACTTTACACATTGTGAGCTCTTTTGTTGGATAGCTTGTTTTATTCATTCTTTGTGGGTTTCATGCCATGTGTTTATTAGCATTACTTGTGAACTGGAAAGGGATTAATTGTGTGTTAGTCTATCCATTAATTGTGTGTTAAAAAAGAAAGGATGTATGTAGCATTTCATTATGCACAAAAAAAGGCAGGGGCCAGGGGAGAAAGCATTTTGGGTACTTTATGCTAAGAATTTTAAGACAAGCTAAAATTCTTCGGAGCATTCAGGCACATGAGATCTCTGATAGTTACTTGGAAAACAACAGATTGAATTGCCTGACAAGGAAGTAATTTTCTACTAATTACTGTCTATACACTATATATTCACTATATAGATCTACAAATATCATGTTGCTAGAAGGCCCAATAATAGGCAGTTGCTTTTCAAATTAGTCCAGTGTAATACATTCATGTATGAAAGTGAGATTTTAAAGGTGTAATAGATGCCTTGTTGAATGGAAACTGGCTACATTTTTGTTTATTTGGCCTTTTAATTGATTTTACAAATAACAGTAATTTGGAGTCCTATATTTTTATAGATGTTATCTCTGAATCATTAACAAAATGATTTTTATATGAAGGGATGCAAGCCTGTTGAACGCATGGACGTGGTAGGTGGTTCTGCAGCAGCAAGCCCATGTTCATCTTATCATCCAAGTCCCTGTGCTTCCTACAACCCAAGTCCTGGCTCTTCTTCCTTCCCTAGCCCTCGCTCATCCTCCTATGCTGCAAATCCCAATGCTGATGGCAATTCCCTCATTCCTTGGCTCAAAAACCTTTCATCTGGATCTTCCTCAGCGTCATCTTCTAAGCTTCCTCAATTATACATTCATACTGGCTCCATCAGCGCTCCTGTCACTCCTCCACTTAGCTCTCCATCTGCCAGAACACCCCGAATGAAAGCTGACTGGGAGGATCAGTCCACTCGACCTGTATGGGGTGGGCAGCAGTACCCCTTCATGCCCTCTTCAACTCCTCCAAGCCCTGGCCACCAGGTTGTTGATCCAGATTGGTTTGCTAAGATCAGTATTCCTCAGGGTACACCAACTTCTCCAACCTTCAGCCTTGTCTCTCCTAACCCATTTGGCTTCAAGGACGAGATCTTTGTCGGCGGTGGTTCCCGCATGTGGACACCAGGGCAAAGCGGGACATGTTCTCCAGCTGTAGCTGCAGGCTCTGATCACACTGCTGACATTCCAATGGCTGATGCAGTTTCAGATGAATTTGCCTTTGGAAGCAGTGCAGCAGGCTTAGTGAAGCCCTGGGAAGGAGAGAGGATCCATGAAGATAGTGGATCAGATGATCTTGAGCTCACTCTTGGCAGCTCAAAGACCAGGTACTGAGGATATTTGGTATATATATATATATATATATATATATGATTCGTTGGAATTTTAACCGAAATTTGTTCTTTTGCAGGTAAGGTGCTGAATCAACAAATAGTCAGTGGTCCCCTCAATTTGAACTTTGACTCTGTTCTCTTATGTAGAAACTTTAGAGGAGGGAATTAAGATGAGGAGCAAGTAGTTGCTCGTCCATTTTATTTTATTCTTTTATTTTCTCTTAGGTCTTATTTGTTTGTAAGTTATATATACAACTTTAGTTAGGAGTGGGGTGGTTTTGCAACCCTTTCATATATGGTCAGGGTCTTGTTAAACCTTTAATACTATATGGGAAAGATCAATATACCTGTATGGATTAGCTTGGTTTGATACTGAAAGGAAAAATTACTTTTAAGATTCAACTTTATCTGATGACCAAGGAGTTTATGCAAATTCCGATTGAATGGCCCTACTAAATTCCCTTTCCCTCACTTTCTCGTTTTTATGACTTCATTTATCCCGGTATGGATGACAGATTTATCATTTTGTAGGCGTGCTTATCATTTTTGTAGACTTCTGAGATAAAAAGAAGTAAAGTTCTAGTTTATAATGATCGCGGGTGGACCAATGAACTGTAGTACTTAACTACCTTCTCACTGATTTTCCTGAAACTGGAATACATGGCTCTGTCCTCTGGGGACGTGTCCATTTTCCGAACTGTTTTCTTTCCTCTGACCTGATATTTGAAACAGTTAAAACATGGAATCAACGAATCCTCTAGGCTAGTCAATGCTTGCTATGACAATGCCATTGTGTGTGGCAGCCCATTACTACTGTAATATAGAGCAAATGGACAGTGTTCCTCATCCACTCATTGTCACTAATAAGTTCTCACTATTTTACAAATTAAGAAAAACGAAGTGCTTACCCTTCCCTCTTGTACTTCTAGTCAACGGATCACAACTGAACAGGACCCTGCATGAGATCAAATTCACTTTGTGCAGGAAGTGTTTTTTCTTTTCCTTTTTCTTTTGAGTGTGACAGTCGTTTTCATGGAGTGAAAGGAGCATAGATATTGTAAGGCCAATAAGGAAAGGAACATGGGTCATGACATTTTTCAATTTTCATAATGAAGAGGAGTATAAAAAGTACAAAAGTCATTCCATAATGTCTAGTTGGCATCCATAATGAAATGTACCATTATGCTTTTTATATCAAGTTAGGCTTTGGGATATAAGAATGGTATACTGTGGGGATAGAATGTGTCACAGAACTAATGCGTCTTTCAAAATAATGTTTTTAACTTTACTGACAAATGATTTTGTCATAAAACATACCTTGAGCAAATTTTTAAAATCACAAGTTGACTAAACTGTGTTGTATCTCTATCAAATGGTAGTCAGCCTTATTGGCTTTGTTATGATGCTTGGAGTAATTGTCATTCTTCTTGTCATGTCTGGCTTTGATGTTCATTCTCGTTCACCTCAAAGTGATGTTATATAAGTGCATGTTGAATTCAGTCAAAGAATCTCTTTTGCGGTGCGTTTTAATGATTTGAATTAAATGTGTTTGATTTTTTTTTCTTAAACTTGGTAGAGTCAAATTAATTTTGAGGGGAGCGATTTTTTTGAAATATAAGAATAAATTGAGTATGAAATTTATATTTTGAAAAAGAAAAGAGCATATATTTATTATTTAAAAGTGGTTGTATCTCACCGTATGAACAATTTTAATCCTTTTATACTTATTTTTTAAAATATTATTTTGATAACATCGGTTATTTCAAAATTAATTATTTTAATGTAATCCATTTAAAGTTAATACTACTCATTTTTTAAATAAAAAGAAATCAACATGGAATGTAACAAATACTAGATTAATCATCAATACATGGATATACAATTTTGAAAATCTCACATTTCTTTCTTTTATATTTTACATCATAACATGTGTTCCTGCTTGAAAAACGATCGTCTTCAAACCTCTGATCAGGCGTCCTTCTGATGATTTGCTGATATGGAGGGTACCTGCAAAGGGCACTCCAACGGTAAAGTCAGGATTCGGTTCTGAGCAATAAATGTTATTTAATGATGGAAAGTCAACCCCTTACCTGTATTTCTTACCTTCCTTTTATAGACATTCTATTGGGCTAATGGGCCTGAGTCAGCCTTTATACTGTGGCCCATTAGCCTGGTTTAAATGATATTTTGATTATTATCCTTAATTAGATTATTTACCTTTTAATCCTGACGAGGGGTACCCGGTCTAGTATGCCGAGTAGGTATTCGATTTCCTTTTCCTGTGGGTGGAACCGAGTTGATCCCTTTCCCAGTACACTAGCCCCACAAGCCCGGCGAGTTGCGAAGCAAGGGCTTTTAAATGCAAATGGTAATGTTACAATAGGTATTCGGTTGGAGTGTTTCTTACTATACCGAGAGGGTCATTCGGTTAGGGTAAATTACAATACATCGTAGGGGGTGTCCGGCCTCGAGTGATGGTGACATTAAAACAATGTGTTAGGTTTTATACTAGGAGGTAATCGGTTTAGTAACAACACGATACAGGCCGAGATTATAAATAATAAATTTGGGAAGGAATATTTCAGAATGTTAGTTTTGAGGGTTTGTCAGAGGGTATATGAAACGAAATGGTGCTCCATCTCATCCGTTGATCTGGAAGGGATCTGACGGTTTGAAACGAAAGGGCGTCTTTTCATTTGCCCGACATCAGTCCCTTATAAATATGTGGTGGTCCCTGCATCCCTTTCTTACTCTTTTGCTCTGTGCCGAACCCTGCATTCCCCTGCTCCAAACCGACGAGTGTTCAGAGATCTTAGGCTTTTCTTCCCTACCGACTACTTGTAAGGTGCGTTTCACTTTTTTTTTTACTTCTTTTCTATCATGGCTGATCGTATTGAGTGGGAGGATTCCCTGTCGGATGCCTCGGGGCCGAGTACCATTGAGGTCGATATTATGAACGGAACCGAGGGGAGTGGCGAAGTTTCGTTTATTTCAAATCGGAGGGCTGAAAAGGCACAGGTTGGGGAATGTAGTAACGAAGCCGAGACGTCAGCGTCAAGTGATGCTGACGCTCCTGAACCCCTACCGAGTACTAGTCCTCCCAGGGAGAGGCAGGTGTTTCCTCCCTGTACGGTACCTGGTTATGAGTGGGTGCACGGTGAGGTGGCCGCATACTTTTCTCGTTTTAAAAGAAATAAAAGTCTTCAACTCTTTGTAGATAATTGTGATATTTCTTTATGGAAGGCTTGTGACCCGTATTCTATACACCTTGACCCCTGTAAATGGGACGAGGGTGAGAACCCCGACTTTGTTTTCCTGGGAGGTGTCGGAATGACCGACACCTTCTTCATGTATGAGTACATGTTTAGGGAATTAGGTATTAGGCTACCCTTTGACGATTTCCAAATGGGGGTTTTGAGGGTATTGAATGTAGTACCAACACAACTACACCCGAACGGGTGGGCGGCAATTCAAGCCTTTAGGATACTTTGTAAGTTCCATTATATAGAGCCTAGTGTAGGTCTTTTTCTTCATTTTTTTTGTACACGTCCATCTGACCTGGTGAGGTGGATATCTCTAATAAGGCAACCTGAGTTGCCTTTATTTAAGCCATATGCTTCGTCTTTTAAGGGTTTCAAAACCGGTTTCTTCAAAGTAACCGTGGACCCTGTAGGTAAAAACTATTTTTTTGATAGCGAGAATAATCCTATGTTCCCTTTTCACTGGACTCGGGTGCCGCGCCGATACGACACATTCCCTGAGGATATGTTATCGGCTAGGGAGCTGTCGGATTTGCAATTCCTGAAGTCCCTTCCCTGGGACCTTCCTGCCCGACATGTAGTCCTCGTGCTCAAGTCTCCGCGTCCTCGCTGGGATATGAAGGGTATGTGTCATTTTGTTTCTAACTTGTATTTGGAATTGAGCTATATTGATTTGACTTGCTATTGTTAATGCAGGCTTAATGGCTTAGCGAGGTGTTGATGTGCCGACCTTCCGGCGCACTCTGAAGCAAAGAATGCCGGAGGGAACGCCTATTGAAGAGCACCGCCATCCTCATATTGACCAACTTCCCGAGGTGCCAGAACCTCGCCCTCCTCCCCAAGATGTTGTTCCGGCCGAAGGCCCTTCCAAGAAACGCAAGGATAAGGGTAAAGGCAAGGAACCCGAAAGGGAAAGAAAGAGAAGGCATGCCCATTCGGGTGAGCCTGGCGGCGTTCAAGGGGCTCGGAAGCAAACCCGAGTGGTAGCTGCTGCCGAGGGAAGCAATTCCTCTTCCCCTGTAGTTCCCTTGGACATGCTGGCCGAGGGCTTCCTGGTGAACGGGACACATGCCGGTCGGCTCGCTGCTCCCAACCTGTTATCTGATGTAGGGAAAGAACTGGTCGACAGTCTGGACTTTGAATCACTATGGCGTTACTACGCAGAACTTCATGTACGGTCCACAGCAATGCTCCGAAAGCTAGTTGTGGATCCTATTATCAAAGTTAAGAAGTTAAAGGCTGCCTATTCGGCTTCTGAAGAAGCTTTGTCAGAGAGTAGGGAGATTCAAGCCAGTCTGGACGAGACCGTTCAATCCTTGCAGGGTCAGGTTAACCAATACAAAGAACACTTTCAAATAATGGAAGACCGAGTGCACGCAGCCGAGGAGGTGGCGAGGATCAAGAGGGAGGAGATGGAGGCGTTAAGGGCAAAGTACTGTCAAATGGAGGAGGCTTTACGGGCCAAATCTGCTGAGATGGAAGAAGCCTTGGCGCTGAAAAAGTAAAAGGCTGAAACCGAGATGAGAAACTTTGCCGAGAAGTGTTCTCAGCAAGTATCTTACGAACATGAAGCCGGTTTTAACCATGCTATTCGCCAGTGTCATGGGTTCTGCCAAGTACCGGCAGACTTTCATTTTGATATTACAAAGGACTTTTTTGGCGGGAGGTTCATTCCTTACACCGAAGTTGATGACGATGTAGAACCTGACGCTGATGTGCCGAGACGCCTCCCTGAGGATGCTGCTAATCCTGAGGCAGCCGGTCCTGAGGCAGGGGAAAGGATAGAAAGTTAAATTATTTGCCTTCTGTACTCATGGGTCATTAGTGCCCAAATTTTGTAACTAGTTATTTTGAAATAGAATTTTATCTTCCTTTCTCTTATGGTTTGTATCTTGGTCATATACAACTTGTACTAATATACGATATGCTTAATATACTCGTCGTTAGCCGAATAGGGGACACGGGAGATAATTTAATAAAAATTTAGCCTTAACCAAGTGATAACTAAGAGTGACTCGTAATTGGTTAATTTTGATCGAGTGGGGGTACTCGGGATTGAGATAGTTCGACTTTAGCCAAAGTGACACTTGGGAGGAAAATATGATTAATTAATCCTTGACCGAGTGGGGGTACTCGGGAGGGAAATAATTTAACTTTTAACTAAGTGAAACTTGGGAGAGAAATATAATGGATTCATCCTTGACCGAGTGGGGGTACTCGGGAGGGAAATAATTCATCCTTAGCCAAGTGAAACTTGGGAGGGAAATACCATTCATCCTTGACCGAGTGGGGGTACTCGGGAGGGAAATAATTCATCCTTAGCCAAGTGAAACTTGGGAGGGAAATATCATTCATCCTTGACCGAGTGGGGGTACTCGGGAGGGAAATAATTCGTCCTTAGCCAAGTGAAACTTGGGAGGGAATGGCTCTTGAAAGATGTTTAGCGTATAAAAAATAATATAGGTGAAAAAGAAGAATTTTATTGATATGGTGCCTCGTTAAAAACCTTCTCAAGAAAACCCCTTTTCACTTTCTTTTAAGAGGATAAAATCTGAGATAGGAAAAGAGTACACCTGTGTATGTATTACAAGGTTTTAACTATAATAATGCTTCAAATGAGTGACATTCCAGGTTCTCGATATTAATTTTCCTTCCAATGTTTCCAACTTGTATGCTCCATTATTTAATCTTGCAGTTACCCGAAAGGGGCCTTCCCAGTTAGCTACCAACTTCCCTTCTCGCCGATCTTTGCGTGCGTCCCCGGTTACTCGCCATACCAGGTCGTTTTTATAGAATTGTCGTGGACTGATTTTGGAGTTAAATTTTCTAGCCATCATTCTTTTACTAGCCTCGGTCATAATGGCAGCGTGGTCACGTATTTCATCTATTAAGTCCAGGTTGACGGCCAGCGCCTCTTCATTAGCCGATTCTTTGAAATTCTCCCTCCTGAATGAAGGCTCTCCAATTTCTTTTGTTGTGGTCTGCGGCGTGCACCGATAAGCCCATAATATCTCAGACAACTTCTCTGCCCACTATCCCTTTGCCGAACCCAACCTCCTTTTTAATTCATGTAAGATGACTTTGTTTGCGGCCTCGGCTTGGCCATTCGTCTGAGGATGTTCAACAGATGTAACTCGGTGTTTGATATGCAGGCCTTCCAGGAACTCATTGAACCGACGATTCACAAACTGAAGCCCATTATCTGTAATTAGTGCATGAGGGAGACCGAACCGTGTAATGATGTTTTTTCAAGTGAATTTTTGTATGTTATTGGCCGTGATAATGGCTAGGGGTTCGACCTCAATCCATTTGGTAAAATAGTCCACGGCGACGAGGAGAAATTTACATTGCCCTTTTGCTAAAGGAAAAGGACCGAGGAGGTCCATTCCCCAAATAGCAAAGGGCCAGGGAGAATTAATGTGGCAAAGAGTATCGGCGTGTTGGCGCAGGTGAGGGTCGTGTTGTTGACAGGGAATGCATTTTTTAACAAACAAATGACAATCTTGAGTTATTGTTGGCCAGTAGTATCCGGCTCTGAGCACTTTCGCTGCCATAGTTCGTTCGCCCGAATAGGTTCCGCAAATACCTTCATGGATTTCTCTTATGACGTAGCTAGCTTGATCGTCGTCTAGGCATTTAAGCATGAGGGTGGAAATTCCTCTTCGATATAATTCTTTGCCAAGAAGAAGGTATTTGGCTGCATGTGCTTTTATTTTCTTAGCTGCAGCTGTATCCTGTGGGAGGCTGCCATCAGTGAGGTGTCGAATGAGAGGGGTCATCCAATTATGAGATGAATTTTCTATGTCCATGGATTCTTGTTTGGTGACACTAGGTTGGGGGATTTGTTGGTGAACCACGCTCTGCAGCTGCCCTAGTTTCCGTTGGCTAGCCAGCTTGGTTAGGCCGTCGGCTCGTGCGTTCATGTTTCTTGGTGTGTACCGAATACATACCTCCTCAAACTCGGTTTTTATTTTCTTGACCTCCTGGTAATATTTAAGCATGATCGAGTCTCTGATCTGATTGGTATCATTAACTTGTTCGGTTACAATTTTTGAATCACTCCAAGCAGTAATGCGTTTAACCCCCATCTCCTTTGCTAGCCTGAGACCGGCGAGTAAAGCTTCATATTCGGCTTGATTGTTGGATGCCTTAAATCCAAACCGGATAGACTGTTCAGTGGCGAATGCATTCGGTCCTTCAAGAATGACCCCCGCTCCACTGCCTAATTGATTTGATGATCCATCAACGTGCAAATTCCACATGTCTGAAATGGTATTATGTTGTGTAGTGAACTCATTGATGAAGTCGGCTAACACCTGGGCTTTAAGGGGGCGTCGGTTCTCGAAATGGATATCAAATTGAGATAATTCAATTGTCCATGCCACCAACCAACCAGCCAATTCTGGTTTCCTCAGAATTTTGGCCATCGAACAATCTGTACGTACCACCATCCGATGGCTCTGAAAGTAGTGTCTTAACCGACGAGCTGTGTGGACTAAGGCAAGTACCACTTTCTCCATTAACTGATATCGAGATTCAGGACCTTGGAGTGTCCTGCTAACAAAATATACGGGGTTCAGTTCAGGTGTTTCTTGAAGTAAAACCGAACTGACGGCGTGATCGGATACAGCTAAATAAACAATCATTTCCTGATTGGTGTTGGTTTAATCAACACAGGTGGTGCTGCCAGCACATGCTTGTATTGTACAAAGGCGTCCTCACATTCATTGGACCAAGCAAATTTTTGAGATTTCTTCAACAATTCAATGAAAGACCGAGACCTTTCTGCCATTACTGGCAAGAATCTAGCAAGGGCTGCAATCCGCCCGGTCAGTCGTTGCACGTCCTTGATATTGCGAGGGCTGGCCAGGTCGATGATGGCTCTACATTTGTCGGGGTTTGCCTCAATCCCCCTTTCAGACAACATGAAGCCTAAGAATTTGCCGCCAGCTACACCAAATGTACATTTTTCAGGATTGAACCTCATACCATGTTTTCTGTCTTCTCCGAATACCTCCTATAAGTGGTCAAGATGTTGCTTCAATGCGAGGGATTTAATTACCATGTCGTCTACATACACCTCAATGCATTTACCCACTTATTTTTTTAAAATTTTGTTCATAAGTCGCTGGTATGTTGCTCCTGCATTCTTCAGACCGAACGACATCACTTGATAACAAAAATTTGCAGAATTTGTGATGAATGCTGTTTTTTCCTCATTCGGGGGGTACATTCGTATTTGATTATACCCAGAATAAGTATCCAAAAAGCTCAGTATTTTGTGACCGGCTGTACCATCGACCAAGGTATCAATGTTTGGTAGGGGGTATGCGTCCTTTGGGCATGCTTTATTGAGGTCCGTGAAGTCTATGCATATTCGCCATTTGCCGCTGGCTTTTTTAACCATGACAATGTTGGTTAACCATGTTGAATACCTGACCTCTCGGATAAAGCCAACTTGTATTAGTTTGCTGGTTTCTTCTTTTACTGCCTTTGCTCTATCACCACCAATTTTTCTCCTCTTTTGAGCTACCGGCTTGGCTCCTTTATAGACCGATAAGTGGTGACAAAGAAATGCTGGATCAATGCCAGGCATATCCGAGGCTGTCCAAGCAAACAAATCAGCGTTATCTACTAGCATCTTTTGGAGGACAGCTTTTTCTTGTACGTTCAAACCGATCCCTAAATACATAACTTGTTCTGGCTTTGCTCCTAGTTGGAAGGATTGTTTGTTTTCATTGGGCTCGACACGATATTCCTCATCCACTCTAGGATCAAGTTCAACATCCAACTCTTCTTCCAACCGAGGGGATACAATATTGACATCTCGGTTATTCCCATGAAAGGGTTTAAGACGTAAACTTGCGAAGTAACATTCCCTGGCTGTTTTTTTATCAGCATGGACGGTAACAATTCGGCCTATTTCAGACGGAAATTTCATGGCCAAGTGCGGAGTGGACACTATGGCCTTCAATTTGTTCAGGGATGGTCTGCCGAGTAGTATATTATAAGATGTGTTCGCGTGTACTACAAGATAAGTGACTCTTATGTGTTTGTCCTCATGCTCTGATCCAAACGAGGTATACAAGTCAATACATCCCTTGGTCTCTACTCGTTCCCCGGAAAAACCAACCAATGGTTCATGATATTCTTTGAGCTCTTGTTCTGCGATGCCTAATTGCTTGAATGTATTCCAGTATAGGATATCGGTCGAGCTCCCTTGGTCAATTAATGTTTTTCGAACAGTGCAGTTAAGAATGTCTACACTAATTACCATGGGATCATCCTGTACCGGATCGACTCCCTGAAAGTCGTCGTCAGTGAACGTAATAGGCGGGATCCAGATTTTGCTACCCAATGAAACATTATTAACCGAACGGACATGCCGAATATGCCTTTTTCTAGCCGAATGGGTAGGTCCTCCACCAGCGAACCCTCCGGCTATGGTGTTAATGACCCTTTTCGGGTACTTTTCTTGTTCAAATCTTCTAGCTGGGGGCTCTCGGGACCTGCTCCTGTGTCGTTCAAATTTTTTGTGGTCGGATCTCTTTGGTGAATCAGGGTGACAGTCTCTTCCTTTGTTAGATTGCCTTGTGGGATCTGTCTGTACAAAATCTTTCAGGTGTCCACCTTTAATCAATTCTTCAATTTTGTCTCTCAGTGCCGTACACTCTTCGGTAGTATGACCCCTGTTCTGATGGTATCGGCAAGACTTACTTTTATCTGCCCGAGGAGGAGTGTTAGTGCGTCTAGGCATTCTCAATATTTCTGTGGCCAACGCTTGATCAAGTATTCTGGACTGATTAGTGTTAAGCGTCGTGTAGGAAGGATACTTCGGTCCTCGAGGTGGTCGCTCAAGTTCATTTCCTCTGTCGTTCCCCCGCCTTGCTTTAAAGGTCTCCCTTCTTTCTACATTCTTTGAGTTAGATCCTTGGTCCATCCGTACCTGGCTCCGATATTCGAATAATTCTTCCATTTGCATATACTTCGCCGCCCGACTCCTTAACTCATCTAGGTCGATTGGGGATTTTTTGCAGAGGCTATTAACGAAGGGTCCCGGCTTCAACGCTGTTGTGAGGTGATGCATAGCTACTGCTGGTTCCAAGTTATGAATTGAAAGAGTCACTTTGCCAAAGCGTTCCATGAACGCTCTAAGTGATTCTCCATTCTCTTGGCGAATATTGACTAGGGCCAAGGATGTTAGAGGATGGGGCCGGCTTGTGGCGAACTGCAAGTTGAAACGTCTTGTGAGAGTTGCAAACGAGTCAATGGAGAGAGGGGGGAGTCGGGTGAACCAACTAAGCGCAGGTCCTCAAAGTGAAGTAGGAAAAATTCTGCACCATAAGGCATCGCTTTCTGTGTACAGACCGACCTGCATTGTAAAGATGTCCACGTGCTCTCTGGGGTCGGATGTGCCATCGTATTTGTCTATTGCCAACCCTCTCTAATTATCGGGTAGCTTAGCTTCCAGAATGCGGTGAATGAACGGGCTCCGGTTCACAAGGTCGTCTCGGTCATTTCCGGTTACCGATTGATATACATGTCTTGATTTTTCTTGCAACGCTGAGGATTCCCCTTGATCTTGAATGACGGGAGTAGTTAGGGAGGGGGCATGTGTCCTTATTTCTTCCCTTAGGCCGGCATTTTCCCTTCTTAGGGCTGAGAGTTCTAGTGCATCTTTTTCGCGCTCCTCCTTCATCTCCATCATTTCTGCCTTAAGCTGCCTCAGTACAGCTAGAATGCTTTCTTCTGTTCCTCCCTGTATCACCACCTCAGGTACTGGTTCCTCTGGCGTGACGCCCTCCATTTGTTGCCTAGAAGTCCCTTCCTGCTGGCTTCTCGTCATTACCATGCTTAATCCTGAATAATGAAGTTAATCGGACCCCACGGTGGGCGCCAAAATGTTCCTGCTTGAGAAACGATCGTCTTCAAACCTCTGATCAAGCGTCCTTCTGATGATTTGCTGATATGGAGGGTACCTGCAAAGGGCACTCCAATGGTAAAGTCAGGATTCGGTTCTGAGCAATAAATGTTATTTAATGATGGAAAGTCAACCCCTTACCTGTATTTCTTACTTTCCTTTTATAGACATTCTATTGGGTTAATGGGCCTGAGTCAGCCTTTATACTGTGGCCCATTAGTCTGGTTTAAATAATATTTTGATTATTATCCTTAATTGGATTATTTACCTTTTAATCCTGACGAGGGGTACCCGGTCTAGTATGCCGAGTAGGTATTCGGTTTCCTTTTCCTGTGGGTGGAACCGAGTTGATCCCTTTCCCAGTACAACATGTATTAAAGTTATGATTCATGCTGGTATGAGTTTGATTTTTAAATATGGATACTTTTACCTACAATATGAGTACAAGGACGAGTATTATAATATCTACTATTAATAAGGATTTTGAATTGAACCGGCTTCTAATATGACGTTAAATTTTTTAATTTTTTTTCCTTTGGTAATGCTAGAGTGAAACAACCTCTTCCCTTTAAGGATAAAATTGCACACATCTACTCTTCCATACCCTATTAAGTGAGACATCACAGAATCCATGCTCAAAATAAAACAACATAACATGAAATATTAGCTGTTAGAAACTATTATTTTGCAGCAGATGAAGATAATCAAAGGAAACACAACCATTTTGTACCACAAAAGTGGAGGCATAACTTCAACCATGCTTAGCAAGCATGTCTACAGAATAATTTCCCTTCTCTGATACCATTCCTAATAATCACTTCCTCTCCCTGCAGGCAAGGTGCCAATTAAAGAGTAAAAGTATATCATACATGTGAAATCAGATATCCATTTAAATGATCACAAGTATATATAGCTTCCATATAATCTTAGAAACACTAATCAATCGTCATGTCCAATCTCAAATTCAATGCATGCATCTATAATACCTCCTCTTTATAAGTCTGCTTTTCACATAGAAGTATTCAGTAAAGCTAGTGATGAAAATGCTTTAAATTTGTGTACAACGCAATTTCTATGTTATTTCTTAAATTTTTTATGTGTGCAAATTTTAAAAATCTCAAGAGACACTTTTCTTTGATACAAAATGTAATATCTTATATTCTTGTATTAGAGTAATAAAAATATTTGAATCTATTTGTAGGTCACATTAATTAAATTACGTTAATTTTTTAAATATAATACTTCATTTTTTTAATTGCTTCTTTTATTTCTAAGACAACATCTAGTACTTCATTTCTATATTTTTATGAATATAATGCTTTAAGAATTGTGATTCACATTTTTATACCTAAAATATAGATCTATTGCCAAATACGAAAATAAAAAGCTGCTTAGAAGGACTTATTGTAAACTCTAAAATTCATAACATAGTATTAAAAAAATTAAAACTTAAATAGGTTTTTAATTGTAAACTCTAAAATTCATAACATAGTATTAAAAAAATTAAAACTTAAATGGGTTTTTAATCTTACTAATATCGTTCTTTTGACATTATTCTTTATGAAAAAACTGTCAAAATTTATCTCATTTTTTGAATACAATAGTGACCAATTTTTTTTTAAAATATTAAAGACTTAACAAAAACTTTTTTAATATAAAAAGCTAATATAAAAGAGACAATATTTACAGAGATTAAAAAATTATTTAAATAAAAAATAATGTTAA